CCATCCATCCATCCATCCATCCATCCATCCCACCATCCATCCATCCATCCGTCCATCCTTCCATCCATCCATCCATCCGCCCCCCCACCACGCTTCGACGCCCGGTGCGTTGCGTCTCAGTTCAAGCGGCTCCCGCAGCGGTTCACCTCGAGGCGCCCCGACGCATTGCGCAGCGCCAGCTCCACGTCCATCGCGCCGTTCACCGCGGCGACCTTGCTCTGGAGCTGACCATGGCGCGAGGGCTTGTTGCGGGGGAGCAAGTGCAGGAAGATCAAGCGGCCTCAGCTGATCGCTTTCGGGGAGAACCACAAGGGAAAAGAAGAGTGTTAGCAATCGCAACTCTGCGTGCAGAAAATCGATGATCATTTTGTTTGTCTCATCTGCAGTACACGAAGCAGAATATAACTATAAGTGGTTTGGACTCGGGGACAGGGGGGTATATAAGGTGAATGGAAGATATAGCAATGATTGGGAATGGACGCCGAGACCTCCTACATCCTATTGTTGAAGAAACATATTTGACAAAACAATCTCTCACTGTGAGTCCTCGTCAACTGCACCTATCCTGGGAATCTCCCATAAAAGAAAAAGCAATCAGCAGCTTTGCCCAATTCTTGCGGTTCTTGGACCAGCCCCAAATTCGTCTGAACAAATCCATCCGTCGCTTCCCCGGCCTTGGGTGTTCTCCAAAAGCCACTCGGCCACCGCCATGATGCCCTTCACGGTTTGCTCCACCGAAAAGCCGGCGCCCAGGTTGTTGGTGCCAATGAGCACCAGAAAGGTGCTCTTAGAAGAAGACTGCAAGCAGCCAGGAAGCTCCTCACAAATGGCAGTGGCCAGAAATACATCCACAGGAGGCCCCTCTAGTTAACTGTATAGTCTGGAAGCATGATCTATACACCGCACGCAAAACGTTTGGTACAACTTTAGGGGTGTTTTCGGCTTTGAAAAAGGACTAACCCTTTGATTTGAACGGTCGTGATTTGCAAACTTCGATACCCAGTTCTGCCTTGAGTAGGTACAGAATCTGGTGCTGTGCGTGCACTAAAAGCACCCTCCAGTTGAAATCCTAAGAGCCTAAGAGTCTTATATGCATAGCACACGAAAGAGATTCTCGTTTGGCTTTTGTAGAGGAGACCTATATACTATACTAGATTCAACACCACAAAACAAGCTCAATCTCTTCACCAAACAAGCTGCTCTCCTTGGGCATGCGGTACAACAGGTGTTGTGTTTGATCCCCTGCGATCGCCAAGACCAACGGCCTCCAGTGCCGCTCATAGATTTTCAGGACCTGGACATCGGCGGAAGTGCACGTACGTCGGGGAGATTCAGCACTGGAGGACTACGAGGACCAAACCAAGACGGGCGTCGTTCCAAAGGCGTGTGCAGGCACCATCCCCTGCCCCACACCGGTAGGGGCAGGCAAGTTGTTCGATGATGGTACGGGTGATGTATATTGTGATGTAGTGTGGATGTTCCTAATCCAAACACTCCATGCATGGAATCTTTGCTTAGGTTGACCCCTTTTCAACCACCCCAATATAAGTAAATATGCCATACACGAAGTGTCTGCAAATGGTTTCTATATTTAGTCTTAGGATTCCCAGAAGCCATATGGGATCAATGAGCATTTTGCAGGAGTGGTGACATGAAGCTTCTGCGGGTCATGCCGCATGTGTGCGTGTGTGTGACTCTCTACAAAACTGCATCCAACCGGCTGTGGGTTCATGGCACCTGGAGCCCCCGGAACTCACCCTATTAGGTTGACCCATGCCTGGCGGCCATTCTGTTCATTTGATGTGGTCAACCAAGGTCAGAGTTGGACCCACAGCCACATGAACAGATTCTGTTTAGGGCTTCCTTGTCTTCGATGTCAACCCGTTTCCGCCGGCCTTCCGACAGGGATGAAGCCGGTGGGCTCCGGGCTTTTGGTTCCCGGATTGGTGTTTTCGGTTCCCGCGGTGTTTTTGGTTCCCAAGTGGGTTTTTGGTTCCCGCGCGGCGGTGTTTTCGGTGCCCGGCTCGGTTTTTTCAGTGCCCACGGGTGTTTTCAGTTCCTGTGATGGTGTTTTCGGTTCCCGCCTTGCGTTGAAGAGGGAAAAAAAGCGCGGATGTTTTCGGTTCCCGCGTTCGGTGCGTTTAGGTCTCCGGTGTTTCGGGTTTTCGCGTCCGGTGTTTTCGGTCCCCGTGTCGGGTGTGCTGTGATCCCGTGTGAAATGGTGGGAGTCTTGTGTTGTCGCGGGACAACGCGAAAGAATTTTTGTAAAGACACGAACAAACACGAACCACCAAAAGCCACAACCACTACCACTACCACCACCACCACCACCACGAACAACAGCAATAACGACCACAACAACAAGAACAACGACAACAACAACAGCCACAACAACCACAACAACGACGACGACGACGACCAACAACGACGACCAACAATGATCAACAAACAACATGCTAAAATCGACGACAACAACAACACCAACACCACCACCACCACCAACAACAACAACTACAACAACAACAACAACAACAACTACTACTACTACTACGACTACGACTACGACAACAACAGAAACAACCGCGACAGCGACAAGAACTTGGCGGCAACGTTGCGCCAGTGTGGCTGAATGAAGCTGGTGTCCAAGCAAATGGAAAAGAAGCAACGCTTCAGCATGGTTGCCAAAGCAGGAAGTGGGCAAATCTTTTTGAACCCCAGCGTCACAACAGCTAAGTCCCGCTGCACACGGACATCAAACTAGCATTCACACGACCTGCGTCGACGTTGGCCTCAGATGCGCGCAAGCTCACAACATGAAACCGACAAGCCGTAGAGAGAGGCTGCAGAAGGCGACAATGCAACTTGTTAACCACAGTGATGTGTAAGTGAGGCGTGACGGCAAGTGGCTTTGGGAAATGAACGTAAACATGTGCAGCAACGCATGCAAAAAAAAGTTGGAGCCCTGCAGACCAAGCTTCCACTTACTGCTTGGCGCCAGCACAGCAGTAAAGGACTGGCTGCGTGGCATGCGATCATTTGATACATTCGCCACACGGTCATGAAGGGGCTGTTGCGCGGGTACCTTGGAAGACGGCCAGGCCACTTCCATACGCCTCTCCTGCCAGTGTGAGTAGCAAAACATCGATTGCAGACTCTGAAGACAAACATGCAATTGAATGGAGTGGAGGAGTCTAGAGCAAGCTTTTGGCGCACGAGCCTCGTCGCGCACCGGCTCATCCTGACAAGGCAGAATGAGCAACGCAGGACAGGCGACAAAGAAGGACAGGCGGCAAAGAAGAACCGCCGCAGCAGCAGCGGCAGCACCACCAGCAGCAGCAACAGCAGCAGCCGCATCCAGCAACAGCAACAGCAACAGAAGCAACAGCAACAACAACAACAGAAACAACCGCGACAGCGACAGGAACAGCGGGAACAGCAACAGCCAGCACAGCAGGAAGCACGGACAAGAGCGAAACTACGTGCTGCAGAACCAAACAGTACTGCTGCAGCTGGGGGCCAAACGACCGCGAAGCGGAGGAATCCAACCTGGTAGGCTCAGATTTAGCAGCGCAAAGCTAAGTAAGCAGAAGCAGCTGCAATTAAGCTACAGGCTGGTGTTTTCACTGTTAAGGGCACAGTGCTGGCGCAAATAGTCTTTGGCGGTCCAGCACCAGTTGGCCTGGTACAAGGTTACATGCCAAATTGTAACGGTATGGTAGGAGCGAAACATGACATGATAGATAAGTTTGTACCACCTGCCTCGTCTTCTTCGCTGAGGTTCTCCCAGCGCGTCATGGCCAAAAATGAAGCTCTGTATGCTTTCGTC